ATAAGAGACTATTGAAGATATTTTCTGTGGAACACTGTAATAAAGTTACATTCAGCAAAAAGCTTTTCCAGTAAAATACCTGCAAATGGTCGTCGATTTCAATAACTTTCCCGTTGTTGGTTGCCAACTCTTAAGGATACCCTCTTCGCCGACCGTCAACATTGTTCCATCATCCATGAGCACTGCCGATTCGACAGGTTCGAACAACGGCAAAGTTTTCATTTTCTCATTCGTCTCCACATTCACCAATGCTATCGTCTGATCTCGACTAATCGTTGCTGCTGTTGTTGCGTTCAGTAGCAGAATCGAGACTATTTGACTGCAATAATCATCAATTGAGAATACAATAAATTACAAGTATACTATGTGAGATACGATAATCCTACCGCTAACCTTAACCTCCTTAAAATGTTCACTTCTCATATATGTATTAGAAGGAATGACGTACGAGAAAAACGGAATAATGATCTTCAGAGACTTCTGAATTTTGCTACAAAATTCAGAAGTCTCTGAAGATCATTATTCGTGAAAAAGTTCGTGAAAGTTTTAATTCAATAACCAATTTTACGCCTCTTAATACCTGGCTGGATTCAGCGGCACATTCACGCGGACAAGCATAAAAGCGACACAAAATTTCTTTCAACATTATTTCCTATTAACCGAACTGAGTGAGTTTTGTAATAATACTTTTTTTTAAAATTCAGAATTGTGAAGATTAAAAAATTCAGAAATTATATGCCTGGTATGATGTTTCCATTTACTCATCAACTTCTTCTCGCCTTTCAACCGATAGGAGTTCACCATTCCATCCATATAACCTATAAGGATACGATCCGCATCCACGAATAATGCTTCTGTGACTGCTGAAGTGCCTTTCAGAGACGCTACACAACACTGTGAATCCAATTTCCATACCTTCAACGAACAATCATAACAAAACCAAAACAAACTCACAAATTTAGAAATTCTTTCTGAGAACTATCCCATCTTCAGACATAAATCAAGTCAACATTATCGATCTCTAACTCCGTTACTAGGTAACAGACCAGAAATGGAGCATATTTATAACTTTTAATTTTACACTGCCAAATGGAAATACACTCAACCGACTAGATCAACTTTTTCTATTTTGTCATTTCTCGTGAAACTGAACTATCACTAAAACACTTGCAATAAATCAGTTGTACCATTTTAAATTTTAAAATTTTTTTACATTTTAAATCAGTTCATAATCTTATTGCGATTTCGCTCAAAACATTTTGAAACTCCTCCAATCAAATGATAACAATAAACTATTAAAGTCTATCATAATTTCAGCATTACCATCGCCAGACTTTCATTAAACATAAACATATGAATGATCACATGAATTAACGATTTCATTGGATATAGTCGAGTATAAAGCCACATAAAAATCATACCTTTACAGCGAAGTCCGCTGATCCAGTCGCAAGCATCTCTGAATCAGGAGAGAATTTCATAATCTTTATGGGTGCCGTATGTGTCGACTTCCATTGTCTCATTAGAGTTGGTTTCAGCTCTGTGCCTTCTGGTACAACTGCACTCAATATTGGTAAGGCATACTCAACGAGAAGGCCGTTGGAGTAAGCCACGATGAGTCTGTTTGAATTTGGTACACGTTGGGCGCATGTGACATGACTAGACTCATCTGGGTCACCGATAATATAACTGAAATTAGTAAGTATGAAATGCTGGAGAAGTGCATGCTTTAGTTTCCACCCTGAACAGGTGCACCACGTAACTTAATCAGGAGTGCTTACATGTACAAGCCTACAATCGTAAACGTACATCCGAAAGCACAAAGAGGTCTGATCAGGTTACTTAATGAATCTAACGGTAAACCAAATCGACGGAATCTTACAAACCGAGAAATTCGACACCAAAATAATACGCAGTTTTATCAGTTTCTTTCGTAAACTTTACTAAAAGGAAGTAAAATGGAAAGAAAAGCATAGTGATTATCACTAACCGAGTGCTCGCATCTTCAACATTCAACGCTTTTACAATATTCGAACAAGTTGTGAACAAACAACGTCCATCCGCACTCCATTCTACTGAACCACCCGTATAAAACGTTTCAATACAGTGAGCTAGCTGGAAATCCCTCACCAAATCGTTCATTCTGCAAGAATCACCTGAAATAAGCGCATTAGATCTGATATCTACCCTCTGACTTGACAGCGTTTCAAACATCCTCGACGTATGAATATCATGAATATTTGCGTGATCACATCAGAATATCATGATTCTGAATCTGATTGTTGAAGTTCCTAAGAAACAACGGCTAGTTATGAATCTAAAGAAACAAAGCAATGCCCATTCACTGAAACTATAGAGAAAATTCCACCCTTTTTCAACCGCGAGGTTAAAAAACGATCGCAAACGGAAAAAAACAACAACGATGACAGCAAGAGTGACGACACTAAGGAATTCTGCTCTCTGAAAAAGGAAATACGAAATGGCGCTATCACATTATGGTTTATTCATTTGGTGCCGTTCAGATGGCGTACAACAAATACTACTGAATATGAATTGACTGAGAATGAACGATATGTAATTCGAGATAAGTTTATACCTATATAATTACAAAAATTGCTGCTTCCTCGAATTCCCAGATTTTCAAAAACACAAACCCCGAGAATGGTATTTAAAAGTCGAGATTCTGCGATCCAGATCAAACACCGCTCGGAATCTGGAATTTCAACCGAATATTTCAAGAGAACGAAGTGGACAAGTACGGTTTGACATCTGGTCGCTGAAATCTTCGCGACTAAATGTTTCAAACTGTCATTTTTTGAAAGAGCACGCATCGAACTGATACAAACACGATAACGTTACCTAAATTGGGAAAGACAATAGGTTATATCTCGAATTCTGGCATGGAAACCTCTTGAAACTGATCATTCACATCACGAACAAGTGAAACAATTCAATAGCCGAAATGAGATGAAAAAAAAGAAAGTTAGCACTGCTAAAGCAGGCTCAGAATACGACTGAATCGTAGGTTTCATGACTACATGGATGAAAAAGGAACAATACTAGTCAATGGTAACAAATGTAGAAGAATAGTCTTGATTCATGATAACCGAATAAGTTTTTGAATGCAGAGCTTTGAAACTGCTTGACAAGCATGTACCCTGTACATTCTGAAAAAATTTCTCATTAACTGCGAAACGGAAGGATTCTGATAGAGATGTTAATTCTCAATAAAAGGAGTACACGGATTTTCGTCAAAACTTGTTCTATTAAACCATTCTATGCTGTAACATGCGCAATTATCACTTGTTGCATGACATTCCTTATTTATTCGTCTTCTTCGAACATTCCTTCACGACATACAACGTTAGATCGGATTCTGATGCAGATTCCAATTCTTTACGAAACGAATGATATCATTACGAAATGGAGCAAATTGAGAACCTAACGAACGGAAAGTTCATTATGGCAAAATAATCTTCATGGAACACATTTCGTGTTTCATGAAGAGATTTTTTGATTCCATTATAGTTATTGTGAATTCGATTTTATATTTTTATTATTTTTAAAAGTTTGCACTGTTATTATAAATAATGAGGTGATTCTTATCGAAATAAATCTTCAGAAATCTCGAACATTATCTGTTACATTTTCAGAAGAATATCACTCGGTTTATAGTCAGTGAGAGTATTAGTGAACATCACCATTGCTCACG